ATTTTTGAAATAAGTGCAGACCTAATTTCGCCTCAGAGTAATTATAGACTATTAATAATTAATATATACTACCATTCAGAATTACAATATTGAATTATTATTTGAATTGAACATTAAAATAAAATAAAAACTAGTTTAGAATTAACACTAACAATGATGCTTAAAATATCTTAATCTCTTTAACATGATGCACCTGTAAAAATAGTCTTAAGTATGTCAGAAACACGATAAAAGAACCTTGACTTTGCCTGTTATGTTGCTAAATAAATGTGTTTGGATAATTTTGTTCCAGCTCCATGATGACAGAGAAACTTGTGTAAATGGAATCAATATAGAAAAAGTATCATTTAGGGATGAAGAAGAGTCTGAAGATGTTAATATATTGTCAAGTTCCCTGGAGGCTGAGGAAAGGTAAGGTTTGATGTTTTTGTCAAATTATTAATACAATTTCATATCATGATCTTCTCTGAACGTTCAAGAAAAATGCAGTTTGCTTGTTGATTTTTCCCATATCAATTATTTGTTAATGGTTGAAACTGGGGTCACATGTTACAAAACCTGCTGGCCTTAAAATTCTGAATTAAACCTCTTTAACCATATTATTACATGCAGACACTTAACAAATTATAAAGGTCTTAAAGATGAGCTAATATTGAAGACTTCAGTATTTTTTAAGATACTTAAAAGTTTCATTGGAGACTGGATATAGAGATCAAGCGTATTACCCAATGGCCTAATTTGTAAGGGATTTCAATTAATTAACATTTCTTTTAATACATAAATGGAAGGCTTCTCCGAGAGATGGGCTGGAAGGAAGAGTGTTTGGACGATGATGATTACGCACCACTGACGGAAGAAGAGCTTCAAGAATTTCACGACTTGACTCAAAAGGTAATTGGACTCGCTTATGAATTTTAGAAAATTGAAGAATTAATCAGGTCAGGTCAATGGGTAACTGTATGTACTCAAGTTATGTGTGTGTTTTGATTGGTAGAGTTAATAGTTCAGTGCATGTATTTAAGGTATAAAATATAAAGTAAATTAACCTGAAAATGTGTGATATTGTGATAGTAATGCTGTGATTTTTTGGTGTGCATGTTGTTCGGTGATAATTGAACTAGCTTGTTTTCATTGGATTTTAAAGACTCGTAATCCAAATTGAGGTTTTTGGAGAAAACTTTACAATCACAGATGACCTGTTTTAGTTTAGTTACCTTATTTTGGTTTTAAACTTTAGCATTTATAAAATCAAGGTATAGCCCAGAATTAGTGGTAGCACATATGATCATCTTATCAAATATTGACCCTCATCTTACATCTTTGTGAATTAAAGTTTACATGAAAAACAACAATAACAGTAAAGGCCATTGCCTGCTGGATTCTATCCTGCATCCAATTTTAATGTGCATAATTGTAATAAAAAATTTGACAAGTTTTTGTTTTATAGGATAATCTTTGGATTCTTCTAAATGACAAAAAAAAATTACATATGTATAGACACTTTCCAATAAATTGCTTGACTTTCTCTGTATGTTGTAAAAAGTTTAAAAGTGTATAGGTAGCTAACAGTTTTATGTAACCAATGTGAAATCTCATTGGCCTAACTGGTACATGCGTAATGTTATCCTTTTAAATATTGTGATTTAATATGTAATAATGATAATTCAAAGTCAGATGTTTTATGTGTTTGGAATTTTAGCAGCTCCAAGATATAACACAATTGACACTGAAGATTGTTTTTAATTTTTTTACAAATAACAGCTTCAAGTCAATGAGAGAAAAAATGGTATCCAACGAAACTTCCATCTGAACTGGAGTCCCAAGCGTGTCCCTGCAATGGCAAATGTTGTTCTTCCGGTTGATGCAGACTGGTCCAGTTCATCAGATTCTGACTCTGATTGATCTTACTTCTCATGCTACAACGTCTGATTTATTACGTTTGTGCTTATATTTTTGGTTCCCTGTTTTTGAGTTGTGTTGTAGAAGGGGGACGTAAGTCTTTCATTGTGATACTTTTTATCAGGAGTTTGTGTGCCCGCTTTGCAGCAAAGTTCCAGTTGTAAGGCTTAGCAAAAGAAGATATTGCTTACTTAAGTTTTCAATACTGTATTAATTGTAAACTGTTACTTCCTGTTTGTTTGTTTTTTAAATCTTTTGAAACTGTTTCTCGTATATGAAGAATTAAAGATTAAACAAACTTAAAACGACAAATGTATGATAAAGGTTTTGATACATATCGTTTGTGAAAGAGTCAAAACGATGGACATTGTGGATGCAAGAACTAATTTATGTATATAAGATGCATAATGGGAAATATTGTCCTAATATGTGAAGTTACACATAACCATATTTCTGACAGGCATCCAGTTACTGTTCATTTAGTGTGTTTTTTTCATTATTCATTGTCCTATAGCAGGCTTCCCTTCAAAAGCTTGCCTGTGTTAATGATTAAAAAAAAACTTGTCTTTTTCTTGTCTTTTTGACACAGATCTTGTACAGAGTAGGTTTACTTCATATAACATTTCTTACCTACAAGAGACAAAGGTTTTTGTTTTGTTTTCGTTTTTGTCTCTGTAGTCTGAAGGAAAATAAAGAGCATGGTTTTGTTATGTTGATGTAGTGATTATTGATAGCTTACGTTATTTTATATTTTCTGTAAATAATTACTATTAAAACTAGTTACTCTTGTAAATACCACAGTAATGTGTGGAGGCAGGGTAAAAAAAAAACCTGTTTTACACTAACTGCATGTTATTAAACTCTTAATATAAAATGCAGCATCAAAGTAGGTTGTAAAATCTTGTGTTGACTTTAAAAACAGGATTGGAAAATCAGGTAGAAAAAAATCATTATTCAATTAACAAAAAAGGTTGAAAGGGATATCTGTTAACAAATTTTACAAGAACAGGGGGAAGAAAATTGTAAATCAAACCAAAGATTACTGAACTTGTATTAACTTAAAGAAAACATAAACTGTTGGTCATGTTTTTGATAAATTATTAATTGTAATTTTAATTTAAGAGCTGAGATGATTTTTTTATACAAATTGGACAAACAATATAACCATTTTCTTAATTTTTAACATATAGTTTTAAAAAATAAATGTATAAGGGTTGGTTTAAAGCAGGACTTTTCTTATCAAGTATATGTACCCACGTGTAAAATCAGTGACTTTATGATATTATGTACTCTTTGTGTGAGTTTGTGCTACGTAATTATTAATAAGATTTAAACGAATCAAGCTACCTACACGGATGAGAACTAGAGCCATCAAAATAATGTAGATAATATACAGGTCAAACTAGTTGTGTTATAAAAGAATTTGTACTCCTCAGAATGTATTAATTCAACCGTCGTTTTTATCAATGTTTTAACAAGTGGAGTCGCAACGTGATTCTCATATTTAACTGTTTCCTACCATTTCTTCATTAAAGTAGCGAAACCTTTGGAATGGGAAAACCCGTTAAGTTATAGAAAAACCATTGAAAAGATATGAATATCTATGAAACTATCAAGCATACTGTCGGTGTGAACGTGCTGTGTAGTCACTATGAGAAAATCTTACACACTGGATAGGTTAAGTGAAGAAAAAGTGTCATTGGCCATTATTCCGTTCTTCACATTATATAGCCGTACAATATCGGATATGATAAATATACTTAAAATTCCGAATTTTTTTAATCTCGAAGTCTTTAAAAGTTCAACGGAGGTCAGGTTCAATCTACACTTTGATCAACGGCAAATCACTGTAATTATGTTAGTCTGAACCAAAGTAGGGATACAAATTTTAGCTAACACTGTTTTTTTAGTTTTGACTTTATTTTTTCAATACTTTTTGTAGCATCAAAACATTCTGTATTACTATAGCTAGCTAGGCTATGTATATATCGATTACTACTTCTCTTTATATAATTAAAATTGTTATTATTATACTTGTGTGTGTGTATATATAGGGAAGAAGATGAAGAGGGAAAAGCGTTCTTACCACGTGATAATTGTAATGAAAAGGTGGCAAAATCTGCCCTTTTATTGGTTAATTTTTTGCAGTAAAGAAAAAAACTGATTATTAAGTTTCAAAAGGTTCTTTTTTTCTTGGCATAGACTCGAAATTCGCAAAGTTCTACCTTACAAGTATGGAAAAGTATTACTTGGCAAGCATTGAAATGGACTCGTTTAGATATAGCCCCATTCGTTAACATGCATAGATTGTGGCTCTGAGGTTCAGTTCATGGGTACGCCACGAGTGACATTTTTCAATCAGGCTAGAATTGGCGACGGTACTTTTGACCAGATGCTTTCATGCATTTATACAAGTTCCAAACAATGGATGACCTGCACAGATAGACCTTGCGTGACTTTGCAAGAAATTCTAAAACAAACTTAAATATTTGACTAACATGATGAAAAGTATTTACTTGGTAATCTTTGAAATGGACTTCGATAAAGGATAAACAGTAACTCCAACAAAACGTGCGAAATTATTTAGTCAAATGGGTATTAGTTTAACGATGAAGAGAAATTTGTTGGTTTACCTTTGAACTACTGGGTGAATAAAAGTTTTAAATTAATGATTCAAAGTTTTACAACGGAAAGTCACGGTTTCATTCTGGATCGCAACAGTCAAACAGAAATAATGATAAGGCTAAAGAGGTAAAGAAGAAATTAACTAAATAATCGGATTGCTGTGTAAATTATCTGTTTTTTTTATCCATGACCTTAGGAAAATACTTAAGTTCAAATATTAATTTAAAACATAAATATACAACTCGAACGATTTCTTCATCTAGGCAAACCAGTTTTTTATCTATAGTTCGTACACTTGTCTGAAAACTTGAGTTACAATAATAGTAATAGAGGTACATATATTGACTATTTAAATACTTTGTTTTTAAAACAGAAATATCGGGTCTGGAACAATCTGCATTCTGTCCAACTTCGGGAATCGAATTCTGTGTTGTAAGTCCCTACGTAGACTTGCTTCAGACCCACCAGGGGACAAGAGTTTCATTTGAAATTAATCTATATCAAATTCTGGACACTCGTATAGAAAGTGAAAAGTGTCTAACAATTTTCAGCTTTATATATACATAAAGGTGCTTGATGGATAATCTGGGATTATAATTTATAGAGATATCTATTAGAAATAAATAAAAACAAGCAAAAAGTGTGAAATCATACCACGGTAATACTTGTATGAAATATGTTTATATTTTTTAAACATATTGTTGCGTCAGCGAGGTCACATGACTAGTGTCACGCCACGTTTCTAGAACTATCCTGTACCTTGGTGAATGCCCTAGCATTTACTAGATATAGGGTAGTCTGGTATATATAAGAGGGTGACAACGTGACGGGACATTAATGTGTGTGAAGACAGTGAGTAATTGATCTGCAGTCAGAGAGTATTATTGAAGTTGAACACGTTCGTTGTAATAGCGTTTGTTTTAGCGCGATTGTTGAAATTAAGTGTATCGTAAAGTTATATTCGGAAAGAATAAACCAGTTTTATTAAGTAAGGACTTGTGTCGCTAAAGTTTCGTCGGAACGAATTTACGGGAAATCAATTAACAAACGGAGACGTAACCAATTGGTGTCAGAGAGTGGGATAAAAAAAATGGAAACGAGAAGCGGCAAATCAAACTGCAGCCGAGCAGATTTAATGGCAGCAATACAAGAACAGCAAAAGAACGAGAAGAGAAATTACAACAGTTGTTAGAGGAAAAAGAAAAGAAACAAGAAGAACGAGAAGAGAAATTGCAACAGTTGTTAGAGGAAAAAGAAGAGAGACAACAGCAGTTGCAAGAAAACCTGCAACAGTGGCAGCTCGAACAACAAAAGAAACAAGAAGAACGAGAAAGAAACAAGAAGAGAGATTACAACAGTTGTTGGAAG